ATATATATAAAAGATAGTGTTTTATCTAGCTTCTAAAAGTGAGACAGTTACTTCATTGATCGAAGAAATTTGTCTATTAGAAGATTGTTCTCCTTCATTTGAGACCCTTCGAATTAAGAAACCAGGCTCTTTGGGATCAGGCAAAACATTTTCACTAGTCAACATCACAACAACTGATGTCATGTTCGGCCTATCGTTTGGATGATGTTGTAGACATAGAAGACTAATTTGAATGCATCGCACAACTTCAAATATATTACATGAGTTTTCCAAACAAACATCAATCAATTTCTCTGGAGTACCATTTTTCCACAATTTCCATGCCTACAATAATGTAGAACATTTGTTAGATAATATTTTATAATAGGAAGGTTATTTTATATTTTGTGTTACTCACTTGATCAATGAGATTATGATCGTGGTCTTGGTAGGTAAATACTCTATTTTTCTTTCCACTAACAATTTCTAGCAATAAAACTCCAAAGCTGAACACATCTGATTTTATAGAGAATAGTCATATCATTCTAGATTTGAAGGATTATAGACAAACATTAAAAGTAGTAATACAATGTGTATGTATGTGATTTGTCGTTTTCTTTTTTATTAATTTGCATTTAAATTTAATGATAATTATTATATAAAAAAATTGGCTTAAAATTGATATAGTTATACCTACAAAAATTTATATGTGATTTATTCATTTACTTTTTTTGTAATATATTTATTAAGTATTAAAGTCTACAGAAAAGACCTATAATCCCTTTAAAAAAAAGTCCCATAATAATAACTCCACTGATTTAAATAGGTGAGAATAAAAGAGAGAAAAAAAAATTAGGTCAATCCAAAGTTAATTAAAATAGTTGTTTAGATTTTGAAAAAATAACAAATAAAAATGTTGGGTCCAATATGGCCCAACCTGATTAAACCGACTCGCCCGATCCGAGACTTGACCAATTCAAACCCAACAAATTCGAATCATTATAGTAGTTGGAAATGGGCTGATTTTTTTTAGTCGATTTGGGCTGGGCATTTCAACCTGAACCGGTCCAAACCCATCTCGTGCTCAGGCCTAATACTCTCATTGGATACGCTCCCATGTATGAAACATATTTAATGAGAGCATGAACATGTCTTATTATGAGAGGTGAGAAAAGTAGACCATAGCTTCTAAATTATATAAAAATAATTAATGATGAAAATTAAAACTCAATTATAGACATTCTCATATAAGATTAATACTATTATTCCTTTCACAACTTAATATTACTACCACTACAATTATAACTTCTATCACCATTATTATCGTCGCTATTATTGTTGTTGTTATCACCATTACTATATCGTGACAACAAGTAAAATAACAATGACGATGATAGAGGTACTGGTGAAGGTTACAACGATGGCTACCAATGATTTTAATAGTTGTGGAAGAGATAATAGTAAAAATTTTATAAGAAAATATCTATAATTAAAATTTAATCTTAACTATTAATTATTTTTTATCAATAATCTAAAAGTTATGATTTACTTTTCTCATCTTTAATAATAAAACATATTCTCATATACGAGTTGTCATGTAAGATGAGGAATCATAGAGAAAGAATGGTAATCTCAGCCAAGCTATTTGATAATGATAATGTGGTGTAAAAGAAAAAAAAAACAAACAAACAAAGTATTGGTGTAAGAACATTTTATTTTTCAAATTATTTGATCAAAATCCTATAATAATTAGATGCATGCTGCATATGCTAAATACTGCTTCACAAACTTCAGAACAGCAGGTTTAATGGGATTGCCGACGGTTGTAACCAGCAGCATTTTAATTTTAAGGCAGACCTCTCATTCTCCGAGGACAATGGTGTCGAGTGTCAACCTAATGAGAAGGTATAAATCAATAGAGATACCTCGTTATTTAATTATTTTGCCATTTACTGTCACAATTTGCGATTTTTCAGAGTATATTCCTCTTAAGTTTGCAGCAAAAGAATATATGAAATACAGAGCAAACTAATCATCATGATGCATGACTTATAAACAAATAAAAAAATAACAACCACTTACAAACTAGCTTGCTCAAGGATACAAATACAAACCTAAAAAACCAATACTGGTTTCTTTGTGATACATAAATTTCAAGGAATGTTTAAATATGCAAAGCTTGTACTTTGAGATTTCCTCTTCTGTCTGACAACCTTCCCAAGTTTATCAACCATAAATTGTAAGGAATGCTTATCATGGAATTGTGCCTCCTTGTTACATTCCACTGCTAAAAAACTTCACCACGTACAGACTAGTAGCATGCTGCAACCACAAGAAAACCTCTTCGATTGATTTTAATTGGACAAGTTCTTAACATTCAGAGTGATTGATGCTTTAGCTAGATTGATCTATAATCAAGGAAGCAAGAAATATCTAACGCTAACAAGCACATAACATATCCAGAAGTGAATGATAACAAATAATAATTACAATAAAAGGGTCAGAGCAGAATCTCATTCAAATTGTGATAAGAGTAGCAAGACAGCAAAATGATCTACTAACACGGGTAGGTTCACCTGCCCCATCTGCCTTCAAGATCCAGGAAGTATCCAACTATATAATCCATCTTCTCCCTCAAGGAATTGCACATCAGGGTGAAATGATTTGTCCCCCCCCCCAGCAAAGACACATTTATGAAACGCTATGTTAGCACGTTTGACACGTTTAGGGATATGATACCTGTGAAACACGCCTTGACACATAATTGACACTTCTCCATTGCGTCACATTTAAATTTATTTTTTTTGTTTAAACAATTTTCTAACACAACTTAAATATCTTTCCAACACGATGTAGACACGGACTAAGAGAATGAATTAACATTTTTTCTTAACTAAACACTTACCTTACACGCTTATTATAAAAAATAAAATAAAAATTAACTTATTTATAAATATCATAAGGCTCATAACATCTTTTATATCCTATGTGAGATTCATTTTCAAAAGAATTATTAGTTGTTTTAACTTTTAAGAAAAATTGTAAATCTTATATATCTATCTATCTATCCATATATATGTGTTGTGTTCCTTGTCTTACACTTTGGACATTAGCCATGTCCATGTCATATCCAATGTTCGTGTTGGAGTCTTTGCTTCATAGAGTGCTTCCCTTCTCTATTTTGTGCTCCAAAAGGCCAAAGATGCGAACTTTCAACACCCATCACACTACTTTGATCTCCTCTCTCTCAGCGACCATCAGCACTGCTTTTTAAGCCATTGGCCTTCATGCCACTAATGATAATGTGGTGTAAAAGAAAAAAAAAACAAACAAACAAAGTATTGGTGTAAGAACATTTTATTTTTCAAATTATTTGATCAAAATCCTATAATAATTAGATGCATGCTGCATATGTTTTAAATTTTAAGAAATATATTGATATAACTTTTTTTTATATTATTGAATTGTTTACTATTTATGTATGCTAATAATGAAAATAGGTTAAATCCTTACACAAGGGCTATAACTAACTCATTATATTTATATTAAACTAGTTTTATTTTTTATTTTTTATTTTAAAAAAATAGGTTTGTTCAAAACTTTTATCAAAACAATTTTTTGTATGAAATTAAAAATATTTAGTTTAAAAATTTGAATTCTATATCATTTAAAAAGCTTTTTAAACCTAATAGGTTGGTTTATCTTAAATAAAAATAAATATTATTTATTACTATTCTATCAAAATTGTTATTGTAACTTTACTTATATAAAATAAACAATAATAATAATTATTATACTAAAGTCTTCTTAGTATATTTTTATTCCAAATGTTATCTTATTAATTATATTAATCTATTTATATGATATGCATATTAGTTGTATTAATAAACTTATATATCATTTGTATTTGTATTAGTATATGTGATTTCTATATTAAAATTAGGAATGGAAATATGATAGATAAGACTATACTTTAAATATAAAGGTGAAACTTATTCTATAAAATTAAGTCTAAACTTGACATATTATTTATCATAAGTTTTATTATAAGTATGATTTGATTTTTATAAAAGTTTGACATGACCTATAAATCTATTTAAAAATATATTTTGCATTAACAACATTAAATAGGTCAATAAATTTAATTTTAAATAAGTCAATAATTATATTTTTAAATATATGTGTGAGTTTTTTAATTAATATTATAAAATAATAGTTTTCTCTATTATTATTAAAATTTAAAATTCAAAATAAAAAATAACTTAAGAGAAATAACTTATACATACCACATACAGTAATGTACATTCACACATGTAATGAAAGCATATAATCTTATCTAAAGAAAGCTTTCTAAATGTTCCTTAATTTTCATTTGAAATATTATAAATATAAACACAAACATGAAAATGAAGGAAAAGAGGGAACAAAGTGACAAGTAGAATTTATATTTTTAATTTCTTGATTTTGTATGAATAAAGAATATAATACATTTAAATGTTGTGAAAATGTCAAAAAGATTAATAATTTAATTTTTTGTATTAAAATTTATTTATTTAATTATATTGTTAATAATGTAATACGCATATAATTTTTTATTATATTATATAAATAAATAAGTTAGCTTATTAGACTTGACAAACTTTTTAATAAGTCTAAATTTAACTTTTTAAATAAATAATTTTTTTAAAGCCTTAATTTATTTATTTATCTTATTAAATAGGTCAAACTTTAAACGTATAAAATCATAAACTCCTGTTTAAAATCTAACTTATTTTTATCCCTAATTAATATATGTGATATTTATATTTACATATTGAATTTTTTATATGAATATTAATACAAATTGAAAATAGTTTTCCATTGTTATGTCATCTATAATTTGAAAAAATGTTACATTTTGTAATATCGTCAAAATTTGGGGATAACATTCACAAGAAAAAATATATTTGAAAACAAGTGAAATTTTGAGGATACAAAATACAATTATACTTAATGCTTCATCAACATTCTATTTATATTTTAACAAAAATTGATGAAAGATAGACTTTGTAACATTCTAATATTTAGAAACAAAATTCACCACAAAATAAATGTTTGAATATAAAATACAATTAAGTCTATTAAGTAAATAATTTTACATATTAAATACATTTTTTATAATTATAATATTGATATAAATATTCATTAGTGTTTAAACATATATAAAATAAATATTTTTTTAAAAATAGAATTTATTCCCTAGTGACACAATACAATTTATTCCAATAAGGCTATAATTTAAAATAAAATAAATTGATTAAGCAAGCTAAATAGTTAATATTTATGACAACTAATATCTGTCACATTTATGTTTTATTTAATATATTTATATATTTATAATGCGTTAAAAGTTGTGAAAAATATGGGGCAAGAAGACGAAACATTAACAATTTATAATAAAAATAGTAACCGTGATTAAAGAGAAACCAAGTTTAATTATAATTAACACAGGTGACATTCATTCCGATTCAGGAGTCTCTTCTGATGATTCTTTTCCGCAAATAAACAATAAACAATAAAGACAAGAAAAGGAAGAAAAAAATCTAAAAAATAAGGAGAGAAAGGGAAGTTAAAGGGGTGAATGAGTTGTGAGTTGTGAGTGGTTACAGTTACTGACTTGGCTCTCTGTGTTCCTCCTACACACTTGCATTTCCGTTTGCATAAGCTGTTTCTTGTGCTATCTTACTTCTGTTCTTTCTGCAGAGTACTTGTTATTGTTATTGTGTTTTCACTTGTAGTTTGAACACCCCTTAAGTCCTGGATCCCAAAATTTGGGGTCAGAAAGATTAAGGTTGTCCAACTCCACTGCAAGCATTTTTCTTTTTTCTTTATCTTTATTTTTCTTTGCATACTATAATATTCTTTAGTACTTGTACGTGTGCTGTCAGCTATCACGGTTTGTTTGTGCTGTGCACGCCTTGTTCTGATTTCTTAGAAGTTTTATTATATTTGTAGTGAGAGACAGAGTTGGGAGAGGTAGAAGAAGTGGTCTACCATGGGTGACAAGTCCCAAGTATTGGAGGCTGTGTTGAAGGAAACTGTAGATTTGGTAACAGATCTGAACAACTTTGAGAGAGCCTCTTAATTCCTCGCTGTGTCTCTTTGTTTCATTGATGGTTCTTGTTTTTGGTTGAATGTAGGAGAACATTCCCATTGAGGAGGTTTTCGAGAATCTCAGATGTAGCAAAGAAGGTCTCAGCAGTGAAGCTGCCGAGGAGAGGTTGGTCATTTTTGGACACAACAAGCTTGAAGAGAAAAAGGTTCACACTTTCACTCTTCCTTTTATTTTTCTTCTTCTTCTTCTATTCATGGAATTTCTTTGTCACTTGTTGAATAAGACCTACTTAAAAAGTTTGAATTTTGAGGAGGATTGTCTTTCTGGGTGTTTTTCAGGAGAGCAAATTCTTGAAGTTCTTGGGGTTTATGTGGAATCCTCTGTCTTGGGTTATGGAGGCTGCTGCTATAATGGCAATTGCACTTGCTAATGGAGGGGTGAGTTGAGCTAACGCAGCTTTGGGAGTTCTTAATTGTTATGGCTTTTATTGATTAATTGAATTGTCCCTTGAATTTTTGTGCAGGGGAAGCCCCCTGATTGGCAAGATTTTGTTGGTATCATCACCTTGCTTATCATCAATTCAACTATTAGTTTCATTGAGGAGAACAATGCTGGTAATGCTGCTGCAGCTCTCATGGCCCGGCTTGCTCCGAAAGCAAAGGTGCCAAGTTTAGCTTCTTTCAGTTTAATACTTTATTCTTTTGATATCTATGTTGTAAAATCTTTTTCTTTGGTAAGGATTTAACTTCTATTTATGTTTCCCCTCATAGTTTCATTCCTTTTGTCTTTGTTATAAAGGTTCTTCGAGATGGTAGATGGAATGAGCAAGATGCCGCTGTCCTGGTTCCTGGTGACATAGTTAGCATTAAACTTGGTGATATCATACCAGCGGATGCTCGTCTTCTTGAGGGGGATCCTTTGAAAATTGATCAGGTGTGTGTCTAATATGTTTGCCCTTATCATTTTCCATCTCAATCATATAAATTCACTGTTTTGTCCATTATATGCCAAATGATTTAGTGTCACTCAGCTTGTCCTTATGCTATGTACTTTTTCAGTCTTCTCTTACTGGCGAGTCCCTGCCGGTGACGAAGGGACCTGGTGATGGAGTGTATTCTGGTTCTACCTGCAAACAAGGAGAGATCGAAGCTGTGGTTATTGCCACCGGTGTTCATACCTTCTTTGGGAAAGCTGCTCACCTTGTAGACACCACTAACCAAGTGGGACACTTTCAAAAGGTAACATAAAAGTAGGCATTGTTTTTTGGCATCCTCGGTGTTGCTTTTGTGCTTAAGATTTAATTTGTTCCATTTTCTGCTTATGTTTAGGTCTTGACTGCAATTGGGAACTTTTGCATATGTTCAATTGCTGTGGGGATGATTATTGAGATTATTGTTATGTATCCGATCCAAGATCGAGAATATCGCCCTGGAATTGATAACCTTCTTGTACTTCTCATTGGTGGAATTCCAATTGCCATGCCAACTGTACTCTCAGTTACTATGGCCATTGGTTCTCATAGGTTATCGCAGCAGGTCAGTTAGGTTCAGTTGAGTGTGTTTGGTGGATATAAAGTGTGTTTGGATATGAATTTAAAAGTGTTTTGGGAGCTTCTTTACTGAAAATTAAGAATTCTTTTTTTAGTAAAAATGTTTTTCTAAGTTTATATCCAAATAGACTCATAGACAATAATTAATGGTTCATGGGTTATGATGTTTGCAGGGGGCTATCACAAAGAGGATGACAGCTATTGAAGAGATGGCAGGCATGGATGTGCTTTGCAGTGATAAGACTGGGACCTTAACATTAAATAAGCTTACTGTTGACAAAAATCTTATTGAGGTTGGATGCTGGTTACTTGCAGTGATAAGACCAACACTTTTGAACCATATGCACATTTTCTAATTATTTTTGTTTTAACCAATAAGGTTTTTGCAAAAGGAGTGGATGCAGATACTGTTGTTTTGATGGCAGCTCAAGCTTCAAGACTTGAGAATCAAGATGCAATAGACACTGCCATAGTAGGGATGTTGGCTGATCCAAAGGAGGTTAGTCATTGATATATTGTTCACTGCGATTCTTTTGATGACATACTGCAAGCCTCATAATTTTTCTGTATTCAAGTTTGTAAATTAATTTTCTGTTCTAACTTGCTGTTATCAAGGCTCGTCTTGGTATCCAAGAAGTACATT